CCGCCTCAACACCGGTCCGGTCGACAAGGGCGGCTGGAACCTCGCCCACACCACCAACTCGGTGCCCGACCAGGGCAACCCGCTCAGCAACCCGTTCCTCGTCGCCTCGGGTCCGCCCGCCGCCGCCTGGGGCTGGCCGACCGATCCGAAGACCGACGAGCTGCGCCTCAAGTTCGCGACCGCGCCCGGCGAGGCCACGCGGAAGACCATCGCCAACGAGATCCAGGTCCGCGCCTACGAGCAGGTGCTGTATCTGCCGCTGGCGCAGTTCACGACGCCGTCGGCCTGGCGCAACAATCTCGAAGGCGTGCTGAAGTCGCCGGTGATGCTGCTCTACAACATCGAGAAGAAGTGAGGATCGGCGCCATGACGAAAGCGGTTGCCGACGAATACCTGCGGCGCATCCCCAAGGCCGAGCTGCACTGCCACATCGCCGGCACGTTGCGCGCGACCACGGTCGCCGAGCTGGCGAAGAAGTACGGCCTGCCGCTGCCGCGGACCGGCCGAGCAGCTCTACCAGTGGCCCAACTTCGACGGCTTCCTCGAGATCCTGCGCCTCTCTGCGCTGGTGCTGCGCACGCAGGAGGATTTCAGCCGCGCGGTCTACGAATACTGCGAGGACGCGCAGCGCGACGGCAACCTGCGGCACGTCGAGTTCTTCTTCAATCCCGACTACTTCTATCCCAACGGCATCGACTATCCGTCGATGGTGGCCGGCATGGCGAACGGGATCGAGCGGGTCGGACGCGACTTCGGCATCTCGGCCCGGCTGATCTGCTGCATCGACCGCTCGATCAATTCGCCGGCCCAGGCCGTCGAGATCGTCGAGACCGCGCTCGCGCATCCGCACGAGCTGGTGGTCGGGATCGGGCTCGACGGCAACGAAAGCGTCGGCCCGCCGGCGATTTTCGCCGAGGCCTATGCGCGGGCGCGCAAGGGCGGACTGCGCTGCACCGCCCATTGCTGCGAGGATTACCTCACGCCGCTGGAAGCGCCGCCGACCAACTACCTGATCTGCCGCGACGTGCTGCGCTGCGACCGCATCGACCACGGCTACAACATGCTGGCTTCGGACTATGTGATGAGCGAAGCGCGCAAGGACGGGCTCTATTTCACGCCCTGCGCCTGGACCAGCCTGCTGCACAATCGACCGCACCGTCCGCAGCGCATCCGGCGCATGGTCGAGGCCGGACTGAACGTCACGATCAACACCGACGATCCGGCGATGTTCGGCACCAATCTCGGCCACGGTTTCATGACGCTGTTCGAGACGATCGGCTGGGGCCCCGACAAGGCCCGGCTGTTCAGCCTGAACTCGGTCGAGGGCTCGTGGCTGGACGAGAGCGACAAGGCGAGGCTGCGGATCGACTTCCGCCGCCAGATCGCCGCCCT